AACTTCCGCTCCCAGATTCAAGCAGTTCTCCGCCCCAGCCTCCGAGTAGCTGGGTTACAAATAGGCACCTGCACCATGGCAGCTAATCTTTGTAGTTTTAGTAGAGATGGGGTTTCACCATGTTGGCCAGCTGGTCTCGAACTCCTGACTTCAGGTGATCCACCCACCTCGGCCTCCCAAAGTGCTGGGATTATAGACGTGAGCCACCGTGCCCAGGTGCCTTTGGGATTCTTGAACAGGGATGGCCTCCAGCCAACTCTAAACAGAGAAATCTAAACCTGGGATCTACACCTAGTGTTACATTTTTTTCCTTTAGATTCTATGAACAGGGCTGGGACAGGCTGGTAACAGGAAGAGGTGCTGTGTCTTGTTGTTGTGGTTGTTGTTTTGGTTTTGGTTTTGGGTTTTTTATTGTTGTTGAAGTTGTTTTGTTTTTTTGAGACAGAGTGTTACACTGTTGCCAGGCTGGAGTGCAGTGGCATGATCTTGGCTCACTGCAAGCTCCACCTCCCAGGTTCACGCCATTCTCCCACCTCAGCCTCCGCCTCCTGGGTTCAAGTGATTCTCCTGCCTCTGCCTCCCGAGTAGCTGGGATTACAGGTGCCCATCACCATGCCTGGCTAATTTTTGTAATTTTTTTTTTTTTTTTTTTTTTTTTTCTGATGCAGTGACTTGCTCTGTTGCCCAGGCTGGAGTGCAGTGGCCGCAATCTTGGCTCACTGCAAGCTCCACCTCCCAGGTTCATGCCATTCTCCTGCCTCAGCCTCCCGAGTAGCTGGGACTACAGGCATCCGCCACCTCGCCCAGCTAATTTTTTGTATTTTTAGTAGAGACGGGGTTTCACCGTGTTAGCCAAGATGGCCTTGATCTCCTGACCTCGTGATCTGCCCTCCTCGGCCTCCCAAAGTGCTGGGATTACAGGCGTGAACCATCGCGCCTGGCCAAATTTTTGTATTTTTAGTAGAGGTGGGATTTCACCATGTTGGTCAGCCTGGTCCCAAACTCCTGACCTCAGGTGAGCCACCCGCCTCGGCCTCCCAAAGTGCTGGGATTACAGGTGTGAGCCACCACGCCCGGCCTGGAGCTGCTGTGTCAAGGGCAGGCAGAGCTTGGCTGGGAGTGAGTGCTGCCCAGAGAGCCAGGATTCCTGGGCTCCAGCTCGACCCTGCTGTGGACAACCATCCTTGGTCAGTGTCTTGCTTTTCCCATTTGCAAATCGGGGAAAACCATAGCTCCTTCCTAGGTCTCTCAGACCAAGAGATGGTAAGGGATGTTTAGAAGAAGATGACTTTAAGGTGCTCGGCAGAAAGCCATATGGGCTGTTGGGGAATTCCTCCCTCTGGATGTGGACCACAGGGTATCTGATTGCAATGGCAAGTATTTATTCACATCCTCTACTCATTCGGTGTTTGGGACGTTCCTTAACATGACTCTTACTATCTTCTTCAGTCAGGATTCTTTACTTTTTATTGAAGTATGCCATTCATCAGAGTATAGATAATGAAAGCACAGCTTGGTGAACTTTCACAAACTGAACACACCCATGTAATTAGCACTGTCAAAGAGAAACAAAGCAGGGCCAGCCCCCAGAATTTCCGCCCCTGCACCCTTCCCACCTCACCCCACCAAGGGTTTCACTATCACTATCTGATCACCACTCTTGGGTGTAAGTGACAGAAACGCATGTCCCAGGGACTTAAGCAGAAACCGAATGCATCCCTCAGCTGAGGGGTCCATGGGTGAACCTTACACAACTGGATCCAAATGCTTAGATGATGCTGTCGGCTTGCCTGTGAACTTTCTCTGCTGAGTTCTCTTCTGTGTTGCCTTTTACACCCAGACAGTTTCCTCTTCCCTTGTGATCAGCAAAACTCCAGAATTGCAGTTGAGCAGATGTCCCATTCCTAGGCCAATAGTTCTGTGTGGGCTGGGGGGACAGGGTCAGTGTGTGGAATATAGACGTGAGCCTGTCTTGGGACACATGACCATTAGGAGCCGGGAGTGGTGGATCAACCCCATTTGAGCCACAGGTACTTTTGAGTGGGTGAGGGGGGTTCCCCAGGGAAAAGCCTAGCTACTGTTATGAGAAGGAAAAACAGGTACTGAATGGACAGAACCAAGCATGTCCAGTGTACCTGTGGAGTGCCGATCCTCACACTGGTCACCAGAGAACAGGTGTTCACTTGCAAAAAACCACAATCCAAAGTTCCAGGTTGCTCACAGTCTAGAAGAGAAAGCAAAGTACAGTGCAGGGCAGAGTGGGGCATGCGTTGACAGCTGCAGAGGGGGCGGCTGCAGGCGAGGCTGAGATGCCTCCCAATGGGAGTCAGGGCTGGGCACTCGTAGCATGAGTTAGGGAGTTGGGAGAGATAGAGCTTGTTTGATGAACAGTGATGATTCCCGGCCGTCTGAAGCCTGGGATATGGGAGATACGGTTGGAAAGCTGAAGGTTACTGAGTAGGAGAATGGCAGGATCAGATGTGTGGTGTAGGCACCTCTGGGGGCAACTGTACAAGATGGACTGAAGGGAGACCAGGTGGGGACTTTGCTAGAATCCAGGAGAGAAGGATGCAGCCAGGACCAATGTGACCCTCCCGCAACTGAATGTCCAGGCCATCCACTGGGACACCATCAGGTCCCTTGACTGTCACATAGCCAGATGTGTCTTCAATGTCCCCAATTTGATTGTCAGCTCCACCGCGATCGGGATCCTGAGCACTGACTTTCCTGGATTGAATCTTTTGCTGATCTTATCTTTTCTCTATTTTGCAGCCTTTATCTGTCATTTATGTTTTTTGTTCTACTTTTCACATCTTTTAAATTTTTCTTTCAACCTTTCTAATATCTAATGCAATTAGCCCCAAGGAAAACTAAGAGAAACAAGAAAAAACAAGAAAGGAAATGTACTCTCAGTGCTTCAGCTGTGAGCTGGCGTGTTTTGCTGTGGCTTTAGGTTTTTGATTTTTTTTAAGAAAGAGGGTCACACTCTGTTGCCCACGCTGGTGAGCAGTAGAACGATCATAACTCACTTCCACCTTGAGCTCCTGGGCTCAAGAGATCCTCCCACCTCGGCCTCCCAAAGTGCTGGGATTACAGGCATGAGCCACTGTGCCTGGCCTCCAGGCATATTTTATGCTTTCTCAAGCTATGTGTAGTATTTTGACAAAAATAAATTTTAAAAAGAGTAAATGTCAAAAAAAAGTTTCTGTGACTTAAGAAGGACCACTGCTTAGGGTGCTCCTGGGTACCAAAACAAGAAACAGAACTTTCTATTCCCTTTATGACCTCTTGTACTTTTTAGTTCCACCCTCCTCCTGAAAAACATGATCATTTTCATCATCGTTATCATCACCATCATCACCACTAATTACTTGTTGGAAATTTAAAGCAGAATTGCCTCTGAGGTTGGAGGGCTGGAGAGGGCATGAGAGATAGGAAATGTCACTTCCTTCTGCCTGACTAGCTTTGTGCTCTGGTGTGGGGCTGTGTCTGCCCAGGGAGTGTGGCCTCTTTTCCTGTCTTCACACATGAAACATGAGCTGACAATGCCCGCATCTGTACCTTGAGAATTTTTTTTTGTTTTTCGAGATGGAGTCTCGCTCTGTCACCCAGGCTGGAGTACAGTGGTACAGTCTCAGCTCACTGCAACCTCCGTCTCCCAGGTTTAAATGATTCTCCTGCCTCAGCTTCCTGAGTAGCTGGGACTGCAGGCACCTGCCACCACACTCGGCTAATTTTTGTATTTTTAGTAGAGACGGGGTTTTGCCAAGTTGGCCGGGCTGGTCTCGATCTCCTGACCTCTAGTGATCTGCCTGCCTCAGCCTCCCAAAGGGCTGGGATTACAGGCAGGAGCCACCATGCCTGGCTTAGAATTTTATACAACATCTATGTGTTATCTTTTCCAAAAATTAAACTATAATAAATATGTGCCCCTCATCAAGGGAAGACTTTCAAGGGGGAGATAGGCCTTCCAGGATGGGAAATGGTACCGGACAAAGGCTCAGGACTGTGACACCCACTACAGAGCCCTGCAGTGAGAGTCTGGTTCTTGGATTTATTTTTGTTTGTTTGTTTGTTTGTTTACTTTTTGAGACGGAGTCTCACTCTGTCACCCAGGCTGGGGTGCAGTGGCGTGATCTCGGCTCACTGCAACCTCCACCTCCCAGGTTCAAGCAATTCTCCTGCCTCAGCCTCCCGAGTAGCTGGGACGACAGGCACCTGCCATCACGCCTGGCTAATTTTTGTATTTTTAGTAGAGACGGAGTTTCACCATTTGGTCAGGCTGGTCTCGAATTCCTGACCTTAGGTGATCTACCCACCTTAGCCTCCCAAAGTGCTGGGTTTACAGGTGTGAGCCACTGCGCACCCGGCCTGTTGATTTATTTATTATTTATTTATTTTTGAGACAGTCTCTCTCCATTGCCCAGGCTGGAGTGCAGTCACACAATCTCAGCTCACTGCAACCTCTGCCTCCCAGGCTCAAGCAATCCTCCCACCTCAGCCTCCTGAGTAGCTGGGACTACAGGTCTGCACCACTGCACCAGGCTAATTTTTGTATTTTTAGTAGAGATGGGGTTTGGCCATGTTATCCAGGCTGGTCTTGAGCTTCTGGGCCCAAGCATTTCACCCACTTCAGCCTCCCAAAATGCCGTAATTACAGGCATGAAGTACCATACCTGGCTGGTTCTTGGATTTAAGCCCCTGCCCTTCCTCCTCACTGGGTATTCACATCTCTGAGCCCCACTGCTTCAGTTAAAACAGACAGGGATGGTCATTTCTGCCTCCTAGGGACTTGGGATGATAGCATTTAATCATGAAGACAAAAGTACCTATCACAGGGCCTGCCTGACTTTTTCTTCCTCATGTCAAACCCTTGTCCCAAATGTCCACTGTGCTGAGTGCAAGGCTTCTACCAGAAAGCTCCCAGCTGGGAACTGGTCTTCTGGAGACTCTGTGGCATAGGATGATTCAAGCACCTTCCTAGTTCTTGAGTTTCAGTAATAGGATCTCATAGCAGTTCCTGTAGTGTGTGAGTCACTTAAAAAGACCTCTGGCTTTCCTGGAACACAGGTAACAAACACCTTGGCTTGGGATCAAGATCCTCCCTACCCAGGGAAGGGCCGGGCTGGCCAGGACAACTGTGTTTGGGCCAGAGCAGCAGGGTCCTGCACTCTGCAGGGAGCAATCACACGTGGGAGAGGCCCACAGCCTGGGATCAAAAGTGCCAGGAGCTTAGGAACAGGAGTCCTGGGGTCCCAGCTTTCCTGCTGTCTCTCCAAGCCTTGAGTCCTTCACCTGAAAAACTGACATCATCATGCCCCCCTCAGGGCCCGCTGAGTTAAGTCATCCTGTGGACTTGAAGCACCTAGCACTTGAAGTCAGAAAATGAGTTCCCTTCTCTTTCGGTGCCCCATTGGCTGGAAGCCAACCATCGTCAGCCCACTGGCACTGGAGGAGCGTTGATCATGTGCAAAGCAGATGAGTGGCTACTCTCCCCATCTTCCAGGTTTTCCCAGAGAGGCTGTGCAGTCGGCTGCTGACAGAGCTGCTGGGCATCCTCCACCCACCCCTGTTGCCTCCTGATGAGGGGAAGGGGCAGAAATGGGATCTGCTCCCAAGTTAGACCGTGGCTTCTCTCAGTGGTGACCTGGACAGGGGAGCGGGGAAGGCAGGGAGCAAAGGATGCAGGAGCAAGGACAAAACTTCCAGGCCCCTCCCTTCCAAAGTCACCCGGTCTTGAGATCATTGCAGAAGCAACAGGTGCAAAGAGAAGAATACTTTGGGACCTTGGAATGTGGGAGGCCGGCCCAGTGTTCCTTCCACCCTGCGAGACATGCGTGACATTCCTTTTTTTTTTTCTTGAGACGGAGTTTCGCCCTTGTTGCCCAGGCTGGAATGCAATGGCATGATCTCGGCTCGCCACAACCTCTGCCTCCCGGGTTCAAGTGATTTTCCTGCCTCAGCCTTCCGAGTAGCTGGGGTTACAGGCATGCGCCACCACGCCTGGCTAATTTTGTATTTTTAGTAGAGACGGGGTTTCTCCATGTTGGTCAAGCTGGTCTCAAATTCCCGATCTCAGGTGATCCGCCTGCCTCGCCTCTTAAAGTGCTGGGGTTACAGGTATGAGCCTCCATGCCCGACCTATGCGACATTCTTAAGGTCCACTAAAGGGCTGGTTGTTGGAGGCCAGAGGATGGCCTGTGAGATACTGGGATTGGAAGAGTAGGTGGCCTATGGGTGTCTCCTCTTGGGGGAGACTCCCCAGGTGGAGGGGGTTCCTTCTCTGCAAACAGTAGCTCAGCACAGGGACAGTAACAGTAATGGGGGCATGTGTGTAAGGAATGCTCTCCCAGGCCCCCTCTTCTTAGGAGTTTGCAGCAGCATCTCACAACAGCCCTAAGAGGTTAAATGTTGCAAATCCCACTCTACAGAAGTGGAAATCGAGCCTCAGAGAAGTTATGTCACTTTTGGGGCTATCTTCCCCTGTAGGGTGTGACTCCATTGCCCTCCTGCTTTACCAGGTACTGAGGAGCCTCTCATCATCTCCCATGGATTTGTGATCAGCGTTGCAGCTCTCCCAGCAGCCCTGGACAGTGGTGAGTCCCTTCAGTTGGCCAGAACAGTACTCTGCTCTCACCTCTCTGCTTCTCCGGCTCCATCCCAGCTCCGCCTCAACTGGTCTCCTTGCAAACCCACGGGGCTTCAGGACACCCTCCCTCTGGAGCCCATGCTGCCTTCAGCACTTCACCCCCCACCAGTGATGGCAACAGTTGGTGTTCTTTGTCCACTTTATTTATTGGCTCATGTTTTTGTTTTTGAGACAGAGTCTCAAAACTCTGACTACGGAGTGGAAGAGCCTCAGGGAGCCTGGCGGTGCTGTGACGTCCACCAGAGCGCCCATCAGTTCAACAACTCTTTTGCCCAGGCTGGAGTGTAGTGGCGCAATCTCAGCTCACCACAACCTCTGCCTCCCGGGTTCAAGCAATTTTCCCGCCTCACCCTACCAAGTAGCTGAGACTACAGGCATGCGCCACCATGCCCAGCTAATTTTTGTATGTTTTTGGTAGAGATGGGGTTTCACCATGTTGGCCAGGTTGGTCTCGAACTCCTGACCTCAGGTGATCTGCCCACCTCAACCTCCCAAATTGCTATGATTACAGGCATGAGCCACTGTGCCTGGCCTTATTTGCTCATTTTGATATTGTATTGTATTTTTTGAGTCAGAGTCTCACTCTGTCGCCCAAGCTGGAGTGCAGTGGCATGATCAAAGCTCACTGCAACCTCAAACTCCTGGGCTCAAGCAGTCCTCCCATGTCAACCTCCCAAGTAGCAGGGACCACAGGCACACACCACCACACCTGGCTTTGCTTTTCTTTTCTTTTCTTTCTTTCTTTTTTTTTTTTTTTTTTTTAATGTTTTTGTAGAGACAGGAAGGCTATCCATATGTTGCCCAGGCTAGTCGCAAACTTTTAGCTTCAAGGTATCCTCCCACCTCAGCCTCTCAAAGTGCTGGGAGTACAGGCTTGAATTATCACGTCCTGCCTGTTTGCTTATTTTCAATAAGAAAAGTTATTTTCCATAAGAAAAGTTATACCTGTCTTTTTAAACAAAAAAAATCATACAATGCAGAGCACACACTGTAGCAAGGGCACTCTTCAGTTAGGGACATTACTGCGTGTCCCTCCTGTCCATCCAGGATATTCAAACATTTTCCCATTGCCTAATAATCCACCCAAATCCTGTGTTATGTGCTGCTATCATCCCGCTTTTACAGATGGGTAAACTGAGTCATGGAGCGATCCAGTATTTGGTTCAAGATCACAGGCTATGTATGTCAGTGTAGTGTGGAAAGTTAGAAGAAAGATCACAGACTACGGAGTGGAAGAGCCTCAGGGAGCCTGGCGGTGCTGTGACGTCCACCAGAGCGCCCATCAGTTCAACAACCTAAAAGAGTTTCCTCACAGGAATTCTTAAGCAAAAGACAGGAATTCCATTTGGAATATATTTCCCTCTCCAAATAGACAATGGTAATGTGGGTAGGTAGCTAAGAAGGTAGGACTCACATACAGACAGATTTCTGACCGCATTCTGCATTTGTACTTTTGCTCTCAGCTAGACTGGATCCTGAGTTATATCTTAAGGCCACATTTCCGGGAGAGCGCCCCACTGAGACCATCATGTTCATGGGAGGCTGTGGTCTGGTGGTCGAATCTGCTCCCTGAAGGCACTGGGCAGTGGGGCACGGGATGGGCGTGCAGGCTGCAGCCCCTAACCGCTGCGCTCTCCTCCCTAAGGCCCCCAGCAGTCAGCATGTGGCTGCCGCGAGTCTCCAGCACAGCAGTGACCGCGCTTCTCCTGGCGCAGACCTTCCTCCTCCTCTTTCTGGTTTCCCGGCCAGGGCCCTCGTCCCCAGCAGGCGGCGAGGAGCGCGTGCATGTGCTGGTGCTGTCCTCGTGGCGCTCGGGCTCCTCCTTCGTGGGCCAACTCTTCAGCCAGCACCCCGATGTCTTCTACCTAATGGAGCCCGCGTGGCACGTGTGGACCACTCTGTCGCAGGGCAGCGCCGCAACGCTGCACATGGCCGTGCGTGACCTGGTGCGCTCCGTCTTCCTGTGTGACATGGACGTGTTTGATGCCTATCTGCCTTGGCGCCGCAACCTGTCCGACCTCTTCCAGTGGGCCGTGAGCCGTGCGCTGTGCTCGCCACCCGCCTGCAGTGCCTTTCCCCGAGGCGCCATCAGCAGCGAGGCGGTGTGCAAGCCACTGTGCGCGCGGCAGCCCTTCAGCCTGGCCCAGGAGGCCTGCCGCTCCTACAGCCACGTGGTGCTCAAGGAGGTGCGCTTCTTCAACCTGCAGGTGCTCTACCCGCTGCTCAGTGACCCCACGCTCAACCTGCGCATCGTGCACCTGGTGCGTGACCCGCGGGCTGTTCTGCGCTCCCGGGAGCAGACAGCCAAGGCTCTGGCGCGTGACAACGGCATCGTGCTGGGCACCAATGGCACGTGGGTGGAGGCCGACCCCGGCCTGCGCGTGGTACGCGAGGTGTGCCGTAGCCACGTACGCATCGCCGAGGCCGCCACACTCAAGCCGCCACCCTTCCTGCGCGGCCGCTACCGCCTAGTGCGCTTCGAGGACCTGGCGCGGGAGCCGCTGGCAGAAATCCGTGCGCTCTACGCCTTCACCGGGCTGAGTCTCACACCACAGCTCGAGGCCTGGATCCATAACATCACCCACGGATCTGGACCTGGTGCACGCCGCGAAGCCTTCAAGACTTCGTCCAGGAATGCGCTCAACGTCTCCCAGGCCTGGCGCCACGCGCTGCCCTTTGCCAAGATCCGCCGCGTGCAGGAACTGTGCACTGGTGCCCTGCAGCTGCTGGGCTACCGGCCTGTATACTCTGAGGACGAGCAGCGCAACCTCGCCCTTGATCTGGTGCTGCCACGAGGCCTGAACGGCTTCACCTGGGCATCGTCCACCTCCTCGCACCCCCGGCATTAGTGGAGGCCACAGTTGTAGCGGGTGCCAGGTCCGGGAGGAGAGTGCATGGTGCACAGGGGGCTGGGGCGCACGGAGAGGCAGGTCCCTATATTGACCAAGGAGTTCGTGTTACCCCCCTGAAGTAGGCAAGGACTGCACGTTTCTTTCTCTCCTGATTCTTGGTTTCCCTGAGTCCTCTGGAGCTGCCTTCTCATCAGGTTCACTCTTCATGGAAAGCAACTCTTGCCCCTACCTCCTCTGGGCACAGGGTGTGCGTTCAGATGACTTGGCTCCTACTCAAGGGCTTTCTTCCCCTTTAACTCTCTCCTTCTGGGGATACATCCTGCAGCAGCTGAGGGGGTGCCCTAGCACTGGCCGGGAGTGGAGAGGCACTGTGGTGATAAGACTCCAAAGGTCTGTACATCACATACACATGCACACGTGCACACATGGCAAAACTCAGAAGTGAAAAGACTTGTCCAAAATCACATGGTGAGAAGGAGGATGAAGGGAGGAGAGAGCTTTTGCTCTGGGGCTCCAGTTGGGAGAAGGGTCAGATTTTCCCATTTTAATTGCTTTCGGGAAGAGCAAGCAGAGTCATGGCCAGGGACACAGCTGAGAGATTGTAGGGGCCAGCCCTACTGGGTCTGTGGGGTTTTCTCCCCATGTGCAGAGACGAGAGATCGTAGAAATAAAGGATACAAGACAGAGAGATAAAAGACAGCTGGGCCTGGGGGACCACTACCACCAAGATGCAGAGACTGGAAGTGGCCCTGAATGCCTGGCTGCGCTGTTATTTATTGGATACAAAGCTAAAGGGTAAAGAGTGTGAGTCATCTCCAATGATTGATGAGGTCACGTGAGTCACGTGTCCACCGAACAGGGGGCCCTTCCCTGTTAGGTAGCGGAGGTGGAGAGAGGATAGCTTACATCATTATTTCTCCTATGCTCTTTTCAGAAAGATCAAAGACTTTAATACTTCCACTAGTTTTGCTACTGCTATCTAGAGGGCAGAGCCAGGTGTACATGAAAGTGAAACAGGAGCGTGACCGCTGAAGCACAGCATCACAGGAAGACGGTTAGGCCTCCTGATAACTGTGGGCGGGCCTGACTGATGTCTAGCTCTGACTACCACTAGACCATGGTCTGCTTGGTGAGAGGTGTCTTCCCGGACGCTGGCATTACTGCTAGACCAAGGAGCCCTCTGGTGGCCCCCTCTGGGCATGACAGAGGGCTCACACTCTTGTCTTCTGGTCCCTTCTCACCATGCCCCTTCAGCTCCTATCTCTGTATGGCCTGGATTTTCCTAGGTTATAATTGTAGAGCAAGGATTATTATAATATTGGAATAAAGAGTAATTGCTACAAACTCATGATGAATGATATTCGTATATAATCATATCTATGATCTCTATCTAGTAGAACTATTCTTATTTTATATATTTTATTATACTGGAACAGCTCGTGCCCTCGGTCTCTTGCCTTGGCACCTGGGTGGCTTGCCACCCACAACAGATAGAGGAGGCTTTGAATGCTGAGACCAGAGCTTATCATCCTGGACAGGCCTGGAGGGAGGCAATAAGTGGGAAAGGTAGGGGGAGAGAAGGCTGGGGAGGGCTGGGCAGAGAGCCAGGCATAGTGAGTGGCAGAGCAAGACGGGGACGGCAGGATCAGTGCCTGGAAGGCAGGTGTGCCCGTCAGGGGGGAGTGGAAGTCATCAGGCTTGCCAAGAGGTTGGAAGGGAAATGGCTCTGGGTTGGATCTGTCTTCCCTTGGTCCTTCTGGGCCAGGCCTTGGAGGAGAGCAGAGGATGATCCCTGCCTGTGAGCCACACTTCCTAGCTCTGGGGGCAAAAGGGCTTAGTAAAGGAATGCTGGATGTGTAGAGGGTTTAGTCCCAAGCTCAGGAAATGAGAGTCAATAAGTATCCGGTACATGTTTAAAAGAAAAGCTCACGGAACCTCTGGAAAGGACGGGGAAGCTGAGTTAGCCACATCAATGAACCCAGGTCACACTGGAACACGGAGCTGGTCTGGGAACTGTGTTGGATGCCACCAGAGCTTCTGACCCTGTTACCTGTGAAATGAGGCAGTTTCCCTCACGGTTGCCATCAGCTACCAGGAGGGATGCAGGTGGTCACAAGCTTCTGATCCTCATCCTGGCTGTGGCCACAGATGGGGGGAACCTGGATTGTGGAGCCACATCCTCCCTGCAAAGCAGGCAGGGCAAGGGAGATCTGACATTTTCTGCTTTACGTAGAGGGAGCAGAGGCACATTAGCCTTGAAGTTGAGGCTCATTTTAGGTTCCTTCCAGCTTTAGAAGCTTCAACCAAATGAAACTTGAATCTATCTCTCGTGACAATAATAGGAGGAAGGTATTTAAAACCCCAGATTTATGAATGGGTACTACGTGGCTTGGAGAGTATCTTTCTTTGTTCTTGTTCAGGTGGTTATAACAAAATACCTTAAAAGTAGGTAACTTGGCTGGATGCAGTGGCTCATGCCTGTAATCCCAGCACTGTGGGAGGCCGAGGTGGGTGAATCACCTGAGGTCGGGCATTCAAGACCAGCCTGGCCAACATGGCAAAAACCTTCCTCTACTAAAAATACAAAATTAGCAGGGTGTGGTGGCACATACCTGTAATCCCAGTTACTTGGGAAGCTAAGGCAGGAGAATTGCTTGAACCCGGGAGGCAGAGGTTACAGTGAGCAAAGACCATGCCATCTCACTCTAGCCTGGGTGACAGAGCAAGACTCCATCTCAAAAAATAAAAATAAAATAAAAAAAAAGACTGGGTAACTTATAAACATACCTTTTTCTCACGAGTCTGGAGACTGGGAAGTCCAAGCCACCGGTGTTGTCTGATGAGGGCCCACTTTTTCACAGACAAGTGCCTTCTAGCTGTGTCCTCTTATGGTAGAAGATAGGAGGCAGCTCTCCAGGGCCTTTTTTTGAGACGGAGTCTGGCTCTGTCGCCCAGGCTGGAGTGCAGTGGCACAATCTCGGCTTACTTGCAACCTCTGCCTCTCTCTGCCTCCTGGGTTCAAGCAATTCTCCTGCCTCAGCCTCCTGAGGAGCTGGGACTACAGGGATGCACCACCATACCCAGCTAATTTTTGTATTTTTGTAGACACTGGGTTTCACCATATTGGCCAGGTTGGTCTCAAACTCCTGACCTCAAGTGATCTGCCCGCCTTAGTCTCCCAAGTGCTGGGATTACAGGCATGAGCCACTGCACCCAGCCTCCAGGGCCTTTTTAAGAATGTCACTTATCCCATTCTTGGGGTCTCCACCCTCATTATCTAATCACCTCCCAAAGGCTCCACCTCCCAACACCATCATATTGTGGGTTAAGATTTCCACCACATGCCAGGCGTGGTAGCTCATGCCTGTAATGCCAGCATTTTGAGAGGCTGAGGTGGGCAGATCATTTGAGGTCAGGAGTTTGAGACCAGCCTGGTCAACATGGTGAAACCCTGTCTGTACTAAAAATACAAAAAATTAGCCGGGTGTGGTGGTGCACGCCTGTAATCCCAGCTACTCAGGAGGCTGAGGCAGGAGAATCCCTTGAATCCAGGAGGCGGAGAGTGCAGTGAGCCAAGACAATGCCACTGCACTCCAGCCTGGACAACAGAGTGAGACTCCATCTCATGCCCAGCCAGACAGTAGCATCCCTTCATTTGCCCCTGTTTAAGTCACACATTTTATTGATGGCTGCAATTAATGGCCTCTTTGTATCCCAGTCCTCTGCCGTATAACCCACCCATTCTCCCCTGACTGCCAAGGTGTCAGGACATGCTTGACTGGTTCCCGAATTTGCTGTCTGCACATAGGCAGTACATCAAGCCTCAGAGTGAACCCAGGTTAACTTTCAGGACAAAGAAAGTGGCCTGGCTGACTAGGCACAGTGAAGCCAAGGCTGGGTAGGTACATACTTGTGGTGCTGATCACGTATGTCTCATTTCTCTGTGAGAGTGCAGTCCCTTGGCCGGGCGCGGTGGCTCAAGCCTGTAATCCCAGCACTTTGGGAGGCCGAGACGGGCGGATCATGAGGTCAGGAGATCGAGACCATCCTGGCTTATATGGTGAAACCCCGTCTCTACTAAAAAATACAAAAAATTAGCTGGGCGAGGTGGTGGGTGCCTGTAGTCCCAGCTACTCGGGAGTCTGAGGCAGGAGAATGGCGTAAACCCGGGAGGCGGAGCTTGCAGTGAGCTGAGATCCGGCCACGGCACCACAGCCTGGGTGACAGAGCAAGACTCTGTCTCAAAAAAAAAAAAAAAAAAAGAGTGCAGTCCCAACAGGAAAGTTTAATTGCTGGGGACTGCCCAGTGCTGTGACGGGGCACAGAGTTCTGGGTTGCTGTGGGGGTGACTGCATTGACCACGGTTAGTGGCTTGCTGTATTGACACTCTGTGCTGTGTGACCATGGCTCCTGCCATCAAGAAGTGGAGTCTGTTTCCCCACCTCTGAATCCAGGCTGGTCCTGTGACTTGCTTTGTCCTGTAGACGAATGTAGTGCAACTTCCTGTGAGCCAGTTTCAAGCATAGGCCTTGGAAGCAAAACTTTACCTCCACCTGTCTTAGGTTTTCAGCTGGGGCTCTGCTACGGTTTGATCGTGTCTCCCAAAGTTGGAAACTTGATCCCCAGTGTTGTGAGGTGGGGCTTGATGAAAAGTAATTAGGCCACATGGGTTATGCCCTTGTGAATGGGTAGATAACGTTATTTCTGGGCCCAGGCATGGTGGCTCATGCCTATAATCCCAGCATTTTGGGAGGCTGAGGTTGGCGGATTACTTGAGGTCAGGAGTTTGAGACCAGCCTGGCCAAGCAGGTAAAACCCCATTTCTACTCAAAATACAAAAATTAGCCAAGTGTGGTGGCGCATGCCTGTAATGCCAGCCACTTGGGAGGCTGAGACAGGAGAATCGCTTGAACCCAGGAGGCAGAGGTTGCAGTGAGCTGAGATCGCACTGCTGTACTCCAGCCTGGGCAACAAAGCGAGACTCCATCTCAAAAAAAAAAACAACGTTATCTCAGGAGTGAGTTGGTTATTGTGAGAGTGGTGCCTTATAAATGAAGGATTTCATTCTCTGTCTTTCTCTCGCCCTCACTTTGCCCTTCTGCCATATGATGCCTTCCACTGTACTAGGACACAGCAAGAAGGCTGGCTTCTTGATCTTGGGCTTCTCAGCCTCCAGAACTGTAAGCCAACTTCTATTTATTATATATGACCCATGCTGGGTTCAGTGCCTCACGCCTATAATCCCAATACTTTGCAAGGCTGAGGCAGGAGGATCACTTGAGACCAGGCATTCAAGACCAGCCTGGGCAACATAGTGAGACCCCATCTCTACAGAGTTAAAAAAAAATTAGTGGGGCATGGTGTCGTGCACCTGTAGTCCTAGCTCCTTGGGAGGCTGAGTTGGGAGGATTGTGTGAGCCCAGGAGGTTGAGGTTACAGTGAACCATGATCATACCGGTGCACTCCAGCCTGGGTGACAGAGCAAGACACCTGTCTCTAAATAAATGACGCCATATGTGGTATTGTTATAGCAAAACAAAACAGATTAAGAGACTTTTTAATGAAAAGACAGATTCACAAAGAAAAACAATTTTTTTGTTTTTGTTTTTTTGAGGCAGAGTCTTGCTCTTGTCCCCCAGGCTGGAGTGCAGTGGAGCCATCTTGGCTCACTGCAACCTCCACCTCCCAGTTTCAAGCGATTCTCTTGCCTCAGCCTCCCGAGTAGCTGGGATTACAGGTGTACACCACCACGCCCGGTTACGTTTTTTGTATTTTTAGTAGAGACGGGGTTTCACCACGTCAATCAGGCTAGTCTGGAACTCCTGACCTCAGGTGATCCACCTGCCTTGGCCTCCCAAAGTACTAGGATTACAGGCATGAGCCACTGCGCCCGGCGAAAAACAGTTTATTAACACAGGCAGCCAACGTCACTGGGGATAAGCCTCAACAAAAAATAACAAAGTGATGCCTTGGAACACTGTCTTACACAGCATTTTTAAAAAAGTAAATTTGCAGAGAAACGACGACCAAGGACAACAGTTTTAGGCTTCCAAAGGTAGTAAACTATGGGATCGTAAATATCCGAGAGGAAGCTGATGCAGCAGGATTTGTCTGTAGCAGCCTCTGGTACCGCCTCTGGCTGGGCAGAGTTAATGGTTGTCTCCAGTGATGGAGAATTTATATTGTGCCTTTAGGCAGAAAAGGGGAGGGAAACCTGACCTTTTCCTGCACTTTCTGCTTCTTAATTGCCATCAACTGAAAATCATTTTAACGTGAAAAAGGCATAATCTGAGCTGACGCCTCTGCTTTCCTCCACCTGAAGAGAACCCGCGTGTGCTCCTTTGTTTT